ATATTCAATAAACATTCATTTCATTCAATTTATATTTGAATGTTTTATATTTTGAATATAAAACATTAATAAGATTTAAAGATTTGGATATTTTAAAAATTTCTGTTCTTTAAATCTTATGAATATTTTTAAATATTAAATTTCGGATAATCTAAAAACATTCAATTCAAATATATATTCCTATTTTGTATATTTTAACTTTTTATATATTTCTATAAATATTCTTAATTAAATTTCAAAAAGTATCTATTTTATCAATTTTATAAATGCTCAAATAAATTAAATTTTAAAGATCTAAAAATGTTCCATATCTTTCTCGTCAATTGATGTATCTCTTTGTAAATATTTGATAATAAAAATTTCTAAATATACATAGAATTTCTAATTTTCAGAAAGTAATATAATTTTGCGACAAATTGTTTATCGTAAATATTTATGTATTTGAAAGCTGTGATTTTGCAACTTTGTAAAATATTATTATTTTTTTCTATGTATTGTTAGCGTTTCAATTCGAACAGGAAATATGATATGATATCAAGTGAAGATATATGAATTCGAAATCTGAACGTCACGAGAATCATATTTCCATAAATGAACACGATAAGTATCCGTAAATTGCAATTCATCGTGTGAAAGGTATTAATGGATATCTTTATAAATCATTAAAATAATAAGCGGATAAAAAATGGAATGAAATTATTAAAAACGATTCTTGATATGAAAAAAGATGATTTTTATATAATTCCTCTCATTTATTGCAAAGAAGACATCGATCAATGTTCAATTGTCGTTCACTTATTGTTTTTATCTATAATTGATGAAAAAAAAAGTGAAAAAAAAAAAAAGTAAAATATTTCATTTGAAAAAAGTACGTATTTTAAATGACAATGAAATTTTTACTGCTATTACAGATGAAATTTCATTTTATGTTTTGTTTTCGTTTATCTTAACAGAGTTAACAAAAAAAAAAGAATTATAGAAATATTATACATGTACTAAAAAATATTTGTAATTATGACACTATTTATGACAATTCTAATTTGATCGATCAAATTTTGATTTTATAAATTATAAATATTTTCTTCAAACTTTTTCCAATTAATTTAGATTTTTTATCAATATTATAAAAAGCAAAATTTCTAAAATTTCCGAAATCTTTAAATTAAAAAAATTAGAAAAATAGAAATTCGCGAATTGTTAATCAAAAATAATAATAAAAATTTTAATAATTTTTAGTAAAATGAGTTATAAAACATAATATTTCATATATTGCTATATGTATACAAAATGTATATAAAATAATTTATTAGATATTGAAAGATTCCTAGAAACATAAATAAAATAATAGTTATTAAAGAAATTAAATCAGGATATTATTATCATTTTAATCATATTATTTTAAATTATTCAATTTATAGACATTTCTTTTGTTAATAATAATATAATTTAAATTATTATTAATATTAAAAATCTCTTATTATCAAAAAATTTTAATAAAATTATAATAATACAAATATATCCAATTGCTTTGTACAAAGCAAATAAATTGGCAATAGTTAATTAGAAAAAAAAATAGGAACAAGTGATTTATTTTATTTTATTATTATTACGTTTCTTTTATTATTTTTGATATTCATTTATATATAGTTGAATACATTATTTAACCGAAATTGTTTAGATACTGTAAAAATATTAAGATTATCTAAAAATAAAAAAGAATCAAAAGTTCCAGCCCAAGAAAAAGTATCATAGAAATATAAATTATTATAAAAAATATGTAATTATATATATATATATATATATATATATATATATATATA